GTCCTGCAACACCAACTTCACACTGCCCTGTCTCCCCAGAATGAAGAGAACTAAAGGAAATTTCTTGCATGCCTTCCCTAATCCTGTCACTTGAGAGAGAGAGAGAGAGGGAGACAGAGAGAGAGAGAGAGAGAGAGAGAGAGAGAGAGAGAGAGAACAGCACAGAGAAATGAGATTGTGAGAACTGGTCTCATTTCAAAGGAGCCCTCCCTCTCTGCTAGCAAATATTCAGCAAATGTTGTGACCACTTAATTTCTATCCTCTCTCTTCCCCTCTGTCAATAACTATATAATTTCCAGAGATGTTGAGGAAATATTCCCTGATCAGCTGACACTCAGGGTAGACAAATGCAAGGTAATGCACATAAAGAGCGGCGGTTTCCCCATACCCGGTGATGGATGTTATCTTAACTCCAACTGCTCTGGAAAATTCTTCGGCATTGCTGTAGGCAGTGGAGTGAAAACACCTGCTCTGTACAGAAGGACAAAGAATTGGCAAAGAAACAGAACAACAGGATGGGAGAATGTGTTAATACAAGGAAATAAGTAAAGCCTCCATGTACACTCAAGCTCAAGTACTTGCTACCTCATTTCAAAAAGAATACAGGTTATTACAGCCACGGAGAAGTTTCCATCTGAGGAAGGGTTTTAGAGATTGTAACTATTAAGTTTAGAGAGAACTCAGGTCAGGACTGACATGATAAAAAGTATATCCAATAATACAGGCTTTAAAGAAGGTCTGTCTCCCTTTTTCTTGCCTTTTTTTTTTTCTTAAACAAAAATAAACAAGGACCCTGACATTTAATGGGAAATATATCTAAAGGGCAGTATGATTAAAAATAATGCTCAATGCCTTGCTGAGACAAAGTCTCAAAAGATTTAAAAAAGTCATACATGTTCACAGTAAGGAGATTTATAATTTTGCTATGAGTTTGTATGGGTTATCAACCCTCCTGCTTTAGCCAAAGAATAACTGTGATAGCCAGGTAGAGGAAAAAATTCCTCCTTGGAGACCTCACTATATCATCTCCCAGGACTTCCAAAGCATCTGTGCAAGCTTTGCACTCAGTTCCTTCTGAAATCCATGGCACTTATGTGCTCAGATCCCGCAACGCTGTTGACTACCCCCCCATTCCCCCAAAATACAAACCTATAACAAATATCTAAAGCTATGCCTACACGGGGCAAGAGACAAGCAACACCAGAGTCTGGGGGGAGCAGATGAACTCTGAAAGCAGGAGAGTCCAGCTCAGCGTGGGCTCTGTGGATGGTGATGCTGAACGGCCGGGCAGGAGGGATGGGTCTCTGCCCCAAACACTGTACAGAACAGACTTGGCTGGATCACCTCAGCAAATCCTGTGCCCTGGTTCTGGCCACAGTTGGGGTGGCTGGAAAGCCAGGGGCCCCCGTCCAATTCTGAGTTCAACCCTCTCAATTGAGATGCCACACAGCTTCTGTTCGGGATGGGTGCGACACATCCACGTCTCCAGGTTCACAAGCAATGTGACAGGCTTCCCGTTCAAAGCCGACATGGAGTTGCATCAGATACGACTCTGACTTGATTTTCAAAAGGGCCCAATTCTGCTCTCGCTTTGACTTTTTCACTAATGCAAATGAATTAACTCCAGCTATATGCTAATACCGCTAAGAATACAATTCAGAAATTACAGAAGGCTATTTTCAGGATTTTCTTTTATTTCATGAAAGACCCTTAACTCTCCTAGTCTTTCAAAGTAAGCCAAAGCATTCAGATGTTGCTGGTACAAACTGCGTCATAGGAGACACAGACATAAAGAGTAAAACAAGCGCTATAATTTAACATTCAGGCAGTCGCTGCAGAGCCCCTACGTATTGTTGCAAATGAACAAAAGTTTAGAATTGACTCCTCTTTCCAGAGAAGTAAAGGACTACCCCCCTTCCCTCCCCCCCCCCCCCGCTGGCTTTTTGTTTTGTTTTTGTTTTTGGAAATTGCACAAACCAGTCTCATGGTCTGTACAATGACATCAAGGATGTATACATGGAACTGTTTGGCCTAAGGAATTTCTCCTAACACAGAGAAATCCAAAGCACTACGATGCTTGCTTGTTTGTTTGCTTTTAATGCTACTGATTGCTTCCCACCATAAATCCTTTTTATCCTTTGCCCAGTTACTCATTGACAGAGTTCACCAGCTTCCCTCTGACACACTTGAGCACTTCTAGGCCCAAGCTGATCATGATACATCTCATTCTGCAAAGTGCCCAGCACAGCCATGATCTGGGGTTCAGAGCAACCATTCCCCAGCAGTCAGGGCTGCTATGGCCAAGCTGAGCACACTGCAGGCCTGCCCTCCTAGCTTGGATTTTACAGCCAACCAACACCTTCCCTTCACCAGCAATACTGTGTAAATCATCGTCTTGCTGGTGTCTTTTCGATACTCATATCAGCTAAAAGCAATAAACCAAAGCATAAACAAGACACCTCCCCCAGAATGAGTTACATTAAAGTAATGCAATTCCCAAGGCAGCCCCAGCATTGATCTGTTCCTGTCCTAATACAGAGTTGCAAAATTTTACTATTTCATTCAAGGTAACTCATATTTTGATGGACAAGTGAAATAAGTAGATTTTACTTTATAAGTGTCCTACTAAAAGGTTAACAAATAAATCTTCCTGCAGTGGTGTTATCTTCCATAGAAATTTTGGTGCTCAATGCCAGGAATATATAACAGGTATTTAAATGCATTTGTTCATATTCATAAAGAATTGCCTTTTTGCATACCAATGAAAATCCAAGTTTTTGTGTCAGCATTACTAGTGTAAATCCCAACTAAATCTAATGATATTTCATATTTAGGAAGAGCAAGCTTATTCCAGAGACACGTAATGGGATAGTATCAGTCAGCCCGCTGACATTTCTAAGTACACCCTGAATTTATCTGCTTTTCCACTGGAAATAAAACAAAAAAAGAAAAGGGAACTACTATCAAAGAAAAACAACAGGCTGTGTTCTCACTTCTCTATTTTCTGTATGCATTTGGAATTCATGGGGATCACTCTACAACACTGTTCACAAGGAACTTTAAAAGGGGAGCTCAAGATTTACATAAAAGAATTTGTTGTTTCCAGCAAAATATATCCTAATGATGGAAATTCTTTCTTAGTCATGTTGTAGAACAAAATATTTTTCTGAAAGGTTCTTCAGCTTCCTGTGCCTTCCCGTTTATAGACAGATAAGACTCTTTCAGAGCTGAAGCACAGTAAATTACTGCTTCAGAGGCTGTGACTTTCCTCTGCCCCCAGTAATGCACATTAATATCAACTGTAACCCAGGTGTAGTCAAATTCCAAAGGCCTGCATGCTTTTAGAATCTGAAACACAGTTTTTTTCACTTAAAAATGAAAATCCGTCTATTCAATTGAGAGGTTTATCTGCTCCTGTCATCCGAGTACCTTTTCTGCTACCTAAACAGAATTAGACAAAATAAAAATCTGCTTCAGTGGTTAACTACCATCAAAACATTTTTTTTTTTAATCCAGCTTCTTCAGAGAATAAAGAATATAAAGAGGATTTAAGCACAAAACAAGCATAGTGTCTCTGTTGCTAGTGGCAAGGAAAAGAAAATGCAGACAGCAAAGGCACCGCCTAAATACAGTGTGGAATAGATTCCCTATAACCAGATCTGTGCACTCACACAAAGGCCATCTGCCAGCAGAGCTAGTGTAGCCACCAGCCAAGGGCATTTTTAAAAGTGCAGCTTACAGAGCTTTTCCTCAAACCAAGACAAAAACTCCAGAAAAGGGCTTTCTGGCTGGCATGTCTACAAATAGACCCCGGCTTTAACAGCATCGCCCAGCATGACATCCCGGACTGAAGCGACACGCCAGCGGGAGCGTGGCCTGAGTCACTCCGAGGGCACTGTTCCGGCTGGTCATGAACCTCCTGGTGCCCTGCTGCCACCTTCCACCCCAGTGCTGCCTGGCAAAGATGTCCACAGGCACCGGGAAGCCCTCCATACCTCGGCTTTATTAGCAGCCAATTCCCTTGGCCAGGCTGCACGGCCAAATTCAACCTGCTTTCATTGCGTGCTTGGAGGACGTGCCTAAAAAAAGGAACGACAAGATTGTCCTGCCTCCATTTCGAGAGCACAGTATCAGACACTGAACTTCAGAAAAACTCCCCAGGGACTGTTCAGACTAGGGAAAAAATGCTGTTTCCAGTGAACTGCCTTAATTCGATTGATTATCACACTTTACTGCCAATATAGACACATTTTAGCTGCTCTCACACAACGCTAGCAGGCCAAGTAAATGTTACAGGCTGACACACCGTTGCCAACGTGGCTTTACTATGCAGGCCTGAGATAGAACCAGCTCTATTTTGTTACTAGGCTCAAGCTCAAAGCTACTTGTACAGACATATACTGTCTTTAATGTCACCATTTATTGGTCATTTTACATGTGCTGTAAAAACAGCCTTTTACCTGGGTGCCAAGACATACAAATTTCAAAGCTTAACTGTTAAAAACTTGTTAAAAATGCCCTTCTCTTTCCTGTCCCATCTTCTCTTGGTTTAAAAGAAAGGGGTGACTTCAAGGATTCAAACATATACTGATACCCACAGAATTTGAGGTACATGCCAAGACGTTCTGTACAAAACTCTGCATTGCTTTAATTTCCTACAGTTTAAACTGTAACTACTTTGGACAAAGTCAATCAGTATCTTTTCTACATGTATTAAACTGTTTTTTTTCTTGGAAGACCCCTGGTTTATATGACAGACTCACGGCTGAGTGTATGCAAGGCTGAGGGAGGGTTGTCCATGGGCCCAACAGAACAGAGATCACTAATGAATTTTTTTCATGTTCTTAGTCTCTAAATTGCCAGGGTAATTTTGAGGCAAATACCTTAAATTGAAAGAGAGTAGATTTAGATTAGATATTAGGAAGAAATTCATTACTATGAGGGTGGTGAGGCACTGAAACAGGTTGCTCAGAGAAGCTGTGGATGCCCCATCCCTGGAAGTGTTCAAGGCCAGGTTGAATGGGGCTTTGAGCAATCTGGTCCAGTGAAAGATGTCCCTACACATGGCATAGGGGTTGGAATGAGATGACCTTTAAGGTCTCTTCCAATCCAAACCGTTCTATGATTCTATGAATGATGAGGCTCTGGGACTTTGCCCCTGCCAGTACTAGCTGCCTGCCCTGGCAGAGGAAGAAGCTGCTTGAGCAGATAAATGACTAATGATCTGCATCTCCATCTCTCCTCTCTCCCCCTCCTGCATACAAGGTAATGCTGGCTCCACTGCTCCCTTTTAGGTAGTGTTCACACGTGCACACCACTGTAAGAAATAAAAGCACTGTGCATTTATAAAGGTGTTTCCTGCATGAGTTTGCTCTGTCCCTCAGATCTCTGCTCTCATGAAGATCACAGCTGCAATATAAAATATATGTTTTTAACTGTTCAGCAGGATTATCCTGCCAGGGCTGGCAGCAAATAAATTAAAGGAGAGGCTGAAAGAATAAAGAAAAGCCTTCTCTTCCTCAGAGTCTGCAGCTGAAGCTAAAAAAGAAAAACTGCTCCCTTCTTCCCCCCCAACCCTTCCAACATCTACCTTCCCTTCTCTACAGTTCCTAAGATGTGATGTTCACATTCCAGTAGCAAAGTTCACACATGTCTTCACACCAAGCACTGGCCCAGGAGATGATATGGACTTAAGTGGTGTGCACCCACATCAGCTTTTTGAGCAAAGAGCCTTTTTCTCATTAAAAATTTCAGCCAGTAAAGGAGCCAGTGCTGCTGGATCTGTGTTCACATAAGTCCTGCTGCTGCTGCTGCAAACTCTAAAGCTGAGGCTATGGAAGGGTTACATTCAGTCTCAAAGGAAGTTATACAGCAACTGGCATCAATGCAGTAAGTTGGTACTAGGGCCTCTGAACCCTAGGAAAGTTTAATAATGCAGGAGATTGACAGAACTATGAAGAAGGTATCCAGAAATCTTATGAGACTGACATAGTTTTCATCAGGTGCAGGATTCAATGTCCACATTGTGTCATTGACACTGGACAAAAATGGGGTTGTTGCAGTGACTAGTGCCATCCTAAGGAGCTGTAACTATTACTAAGTTCAGGAAAACATAAAAAAATTATAGACTTCTGCAAAACTGCTCATGATTTAAGAATGTTCTGTATTTCTATTATATACTGACTGATAATATATGTATGCTTATGCATGTGAAATACTTAAGAGTTACAGAAAGTTGCTTAGTGTTGTTTGATCAACAAAAGGCTCAACTTTCTGCAGAAAACAGAATTATTCATTAAAATGCTTCTGAAGCAGAAAACTTCGTTGCTGATAGAAAAATTTCTAAACTGACTGCTCTCTCTCTCTTGCATAAACACCCATACGTCCATAGGTCAACCTACCAGACCTGTTTCACAGGTGAGGGTTACCTGGCTCTCCACATCTTTGTCGCATGTCAGCAGTAATGTTCACGCAGCTGCGCAATGGACTGCACGAGAGTGCTCCTCAATTTGAACTTTCTGTCCCCCAAAACAAGTAAGCTTCCATCTGAACTGCTTCTCAGCCAGACTTGTGAATGATAAACAGTGGGATCAGGCAGTAGACAGGCAGGAGACATATAGACGTGCCTGTCTCACCCCACCAAAGTCTCACACTGGACATAAGTTACTGGAATAACCTTGGCCTTAGTGTACTCTTTGCCCTAGTACTTGAAGCATTAAACACAACTAATTTCTACCATTAGTTTTATTTAGAAACCACACTGCTCACTGCCAAAAGAGGAACCTGATCCTCATGCCCACACTCAGTTGGGTTCTATAGTATTATTTTAAGACAAAATATACAAACAGGCAGTTCAGCTGTATATCAAATGACAAAACTGGGTTCCTGAAATCGTGTTTGGTGTTGTTTTTTTCCTTAAGGGCAGCAGGCATCTGCAGAGCCCCCCTGAGGGCACTGAAACTTGTACAAGTGCCTCACCAGCCAGGGACAGTTTCTTCTCTTGCCTTCCTTCCACAAGCAGTCTCACTGGTGGAATTATTTGTTCAACTGCAGGGAACACGCTTTGATAACAAATGTGTCCTTCAGTATAAAAAAAATAAACTAAAATGCACACAGTCTGAAAGAGCTGGTAGGAAATTCTCTCCTTACAAGTGTATGGTGCACAGCAGAAACACAGAGAGTTGACATGAAGATGTCTGACTATGATTTGAAAGGCATTTTCCTAGGCTAACACTATCCCAATTCCCATGTGGATCAGGATCATTCCTGACTGAACTTCCAGTTCAGGAGCATCTGATACACTTCAAGTTCTATCCTATTCAGGACAGAAAATTCACTACATGGTTAAACAAACATGTGCACAGAGGCAGAGGACTGACCAGATTATAGCCAGAGAGTTACTACATCATCTCATCTCTAAGAAATGACCTCCATTGAGGTCAAAAATATTGGAAACACAGAGAAAAAAATGCACTGCCAATGCCCCTCCGGTGCCAGTTCTGGGAATAAAGGACTCCAGTGTTCAGTGCTGTCATTTTTGTAGCAGCTTTGAATGCGGAAAAACCCAACTTATAAAAAAAAGCCCAAAGATGCCATAAGAAGCCTTGAGTCTCCAAACCATTCCAACAATTAAATGCTAACCTAACATGAAAGGCTGTAATTGGCAACTGATTATTTAAAATTAATCTTCAAGCATTGCTTTAAAAAATGACTTTTCTTGTGAAAAATCAAGAACTCCATCCAAGTCAAACACTTTTTAAGAGACCTTGCCATCTTCCACTGCAGTGCTCAAAAAATGCATTAGCAGAGATACAGGTTGTCTTCCTCCCCCTTTTCTGCTCATTACCATCAGTTTTGAGAACTGATTAGCTGTGGTTGTTATTCATTAGTCACATCTCTAAAATCTGAATTATAAACACCCCTGTGAGGTCTTATTCTAATCAACCTATTTTGAGTCTTGCAATTAATACTAACACCAGAAAAATAATTGAACAGTGTACATGTACAGACCACCCCCTCTTCCCACAAAAATCCAGGCTCAGATATGCATGAAAAGGAAGACTTAAAAACTCTGCTATTGCCGGTATAAATCCTTCTCCCCTGTACACTGCAGCCAGTTCAGCTGGTTAATACAGGTGACATAATGGGTACACAGTAAACACGAAGCAGCCATCAGTGATTTTCCTGACGGGGTCAGAGGCTACAGAGCTGATAGATCTCAGGAGGACAAGAACATGCAGGCATGACAGATTAAGTGACTGCCATTGGCTGTGTGCTTGCTCTGAATACGCAGCCACAGACGATAATCAATTACTTGGGGCTGCTAATGATACTGATCAACCGCACTTAGCACTTGGCAGCTTGAGGGCTACCACCCTGACACTCGGAAAATACACAGGCTGCCCCTGGGCAAGAGGAAGTGAGAGGCTGGTACCAGCAAAATCCTCAAAGTCAACAAGAAAAAACAGCTTGTTCCTTCTTTGCCTCCCTGCTTTATGTTATAAAATAAACATTTGCTGGGGACTAAGCATGTTCTTTCCCCTAAGACAACGCAACTTGGAAATGCTGTGGCCATCTGTGAAAGCTTGGGGACGGCAGTGCACATGGAGGGAACCCCACACTGTTTCAAGAATGGCTTGTTACAGGAAAGAAAGTGTATTACCACCTACATATTGGCTTCCAGAGGTCTGTGTAACACACTGCCTGCCTCCTGCCATTACTTTCCAAGCTTGACCTATAGTCTGAGGTGTTTTGGCTTCCTCATCATTATCATCAGTTCAAGATGTTGATCTCTTTCCAGCTTTTACAACCAGGGGAAGTAAAAATTTTGCCACTGGTTTCAGAGAATGTAAGATCAGGGTAAATACTTCTTTGTAAACACATTTTGTCTCAGGCATCCTAAACCACAGCTTTCTCTTTTAAGGTTTGGGACAGGTGTGAAGTTTGGGGTTTGCAATTTAATTTTTTAAATAAATAAAGCCTTAAAAAAAATTCTACTGCTTTAACTGTAGAAGTTATTTATTCCCTACTCCTATACAGAAAAAGGATTCATTGCACAGTGATATAAGGCAGTGTTGGGAATACCTAAGGTGATACCCTTCATTTTAGGGGACTATATCCTCCCTTTAAGGGGCTAAAACAAAAGTAAAGCTTTGACTGACAGAGGAAATTACTTCTCTAATTGGTAATAAAAGCAGTAAGTTAGACCTGACCTAAGGTCCTGGATGGTTCTTTGCTCCGAGATCCCAGAGCTGGAATTCTGGGCATCTGAAACCACACTTCTCATCCCTGAGAAATTAGCCTTCCTCCTGCTGTAGGGCAGACAGTCCCATAGCAACACTGACCACAGAGATCAGTTAGGAAGATGGAACATACTCAAAAATGTCTTTACAAGTACACTGCGTTTAATCACCACAAGAAAAATAAATTTTGAAGAAATTACCAAACAGAACCGTCTGAGGAGAATTTGTAACAGCTAGTTCTGCAGATAGCTGTATGTTCCCTGGCAACCCTTTCCCTGAATGCAGGAAATTAACTGCAGAAAATGTCTTAGTTTTCAAATAATAATAAACCAGCAAATTAATATAGTGCAGATCCATACCACTGGGTTGTTTTTGCAAACCCTGTGCCAAGATTCCTGCTCATCTATTCTCAGGTTACCTCATCAGCAAGCAGCAGCCTAGGACATAAGGCAGTGTATACCATACCTGCTTGAACAGCAGGGGGGAGTTTCAACAGGAAAAATTCAGGAACTATTGGGATTTTTAGCTAAAATTTGCTCATTGTGTAGAATGAAAAGAAGAATTCTCACCACAATGCAGTGAGGATTCATTAAACTGTTAAGAAAGAGGCTTGTAGTAAGAGCCCTGCTTAGTGAGTAATTATTCATTATTGGAAGAGCTAAGTATGCCAGCAATGACAGTTAATCCCTTCTTTCCCTTCCTTCTTCCTGCAGAAAGTGGCACAGGAATCCCTCACAACTGCCAGTTCTCAAAAGCTCTGTTCTAGGGCTCAAGATACCCCAG